GTGTGTGGTATGTGGATATGATGGGGTCAGTCAAATCCCATGTCTATGAGCTCTGGTCTGGGTCCTTGGTCTGGGAGAACGTTTGTCGCTCATCGCACCCCCGTCTGTGCTCTAAACTCTAGAATCCAGTTCGCGAGCTTCGGGCAAGGGGCTGGAGGTTGAGGAAACACACACATAGACAGACAGACACACGGACCTACCTCCAATCACTGGTACAAAGGCCCTTCTTTAATAGCACCATGGAGGCTTAAATACCCTGCAGTCAATGGCCACCAGGTGAAAATCCCATCCTCTGATCCTCTAGGCAAGGCACAGCTTTTAGTAACTTCAATTAGAAGGCTCTAGCAGGGAAGAGCAGCTGAAGGCCAGGACTCCAATTGGTCCCAACAAATGTTCCTTGAATTTGAGTTTGTGGCCTGCTTGGTATTGGTATGACCTGGTACCCAGGTCCATGGCCCAGCACAAGAACTGTTCTACAGCTGTAGGCCCAAAGTAGTTTCTTTATTAACCAATGATATTCACAGCATACATGGAGGAATCCCACATCACCTAGACTCTCTCCTGGACTCTTCTACTCTGAAGGTATTTCCACTCTGCAGAGTTGTCCATGCTGATGCTAGTGTGGAAATGGACACTGAGTGTGCCATCCTGCCATCCTGCTGATGTTGTTCTGTAAAAACAACTGCTTTTGTAAACGATAATGTTGCTCTGCTGGTACCACACTGTGGGAGAGCCATGTGCGGTGACCAGACTGGGCTCTGTACTTGAAGGCCCTGTCCATCTTGCTGTTGTTACAGCTGGCTACATGGCACTTGCTGAAACTGGTCAAGTGGCCCAGGAAGGAGAAACGACTCTGTAGGGCCTCATCTTAGCACTCTGTGTCCACTTGCCTTCCCAAGAAGAAAGACATTGAAATTTTCACCCACAATAGCAACAGGCTATTGGATCATAGAGAAAGAAGGGAAAGAAGAAATATTTTTTCCATTCCATTTGTGATTCTAATAGGAAAAAGATAACATAGTGAAGACTTTCTAGCTCTTGTCACAAATGAATCTCCGTGTTTAAATGAACTGTATTTATACGGGAGGTTTATCTTCCAAATTCTCTTAGAGTTTTAATTTTGATTTGTTTCATCGGCAGCCCATGCAGAAGGAACAGAAAGGAGGGTTTGCAAATTAAGGGTGTTGATCTCTTCTGTTCCTGGTGAGAAGGGCCGTGGGCTGCACACCAGCACCGCAGGCAGAGCAGGGAGCACGTGTCCTGGTTAGAAGGGCCGGGGGCTGCACACCAGCACCGCAGGCAGAGCAGAGAACACGTGTTCTGGTATATAGGGAACCGGAAGAAATCTAAAGTTTAAATTACGCCCAGATAAAGCTGTTCATTTTGTCACACTCATTCCTTCAAACCACTCGGAATTTGTTTTCTCTTGGCATGGGATAAATTGATTTTAAACACTGTGTCTGCTTACTCTCATTGGGCCTTACATTATTCCTGAAGAGTGCTCAGAGTACAATGTACGAAATGAGATTTTGTGTTGGAATAAAGGAAGATTGGATTTTTATGTTACTCAGTAATCACACCCCGTTTTCCTTTATTAAGAAAAAATGCTTTCACAAAGGTCTCCTTTATTCTTTTTACCTCTCTGAGAAATAATCAGGCAGGTTTGACCTTTTCACTGTGGAGCTGGATGGTGAGACACAAACAGTGTGCCTAGCAGAGCGCACGTTATGAGACCTTCCTCGCGAGCTCTTCAGTTCATGGGCTTCTGTTTCTATGTTTGCCCAGGTAGCTAGTCTCTCTCCTGGACTCTGTAATTTTGAAGGCATTTTCATGCATAGATAGCTGTCCTTGCAGAAATGGGCACCGAGTGCTCCATCCTGCCATCTGACTGTGTCACTCTATAAACATACCACCTTTATAAATGATAACATTGATGTGCCCGTGCTAAAATGTGAGTGAGCCAGGCTTCTTTGCACTCAAAAGCCCCTCCCGCTCCTGCTGCTGTTAAAAGGGGTCCCACAGCGCTTGCTGAAGCTCTCCAAGTTGCCTTCGTAAGAGGTGATAGTTAGCAGGGGCAGAAGAGACAACACAGCAGAATTCAACCGCTGTGACATTCAGGATGTATAGCAGAACCTGGAATGGCGTGAAACTTAGCCTCATTTTCTATGTATCTATTGCTCTGTGTATGTCTTTCTGAGGAACACATTTCAGTTGTTCTCAAAGGAATATTGAACCTGGATCTTGGTAAGACCTCATCAGTTAGGAAGGCGAAATATAAAGTCTACTTGGAATTATAATGTGAGCTGTGAGTCCCAATCATCAAAGCCTTAAACCACATTACCAAGGATGTCGGGGTGATCTCGCCATGACTTCTGTCACACCATCAATCGGTCTCCACGGTTGACCCAGCTGATCTAGCTGATTAGGCCGGTGTCCCCT